GTAAACCACATGATAATGAGATTTTGGATACATTCTCCCTATAAACACTGAGTAACATAACTAACTATTTTAAACTCTTTTTTTCAAGTCTAGTATGAATTTCAAAATCTGAAAGATCATTGGTATTAAGGATAAACTGTTATATTACAGCTAGAGCCCTAAAGCTGGTCTTGCTTTTCTTCATAGATGATGAATAACATAACTCAATAATATAAAGAAACACAATTACTTTATCTCTTTTGTTTAAAATAACAAATTAAATGAAAGAAATAAATGACACTATAAAAAGAAAGGAGCAACTGATAGAAATGTCTGCTTACACGACAGATGTGCCTAGGCTGCCTTCTTTCCATGGTTTAAAGATGTTTCTAGTTTATGATTTGCACTTATAGTCCCAAGGTCAATCAATTAGATTTTTGCATGTGTAAGTTACTCTGTCTTGATAAGAACCATTTTTTCTTTTTCTCCTATACTTTCAGAAAGGACTTTTTTTGATGAAAAGTTGTATATACTTTACTATGGTGTCTGTCAGTCACTCCTGCTTTTATACGTAATCAAGAATAAAAAAAGTAGAAGGGAATTTCAAACTCAGTGCATTCAACCTATAAAGTTACAACTCTTATGAGAGAGAAGATTAAATAATCTTATAATAGCAAGGAGTCAACTTTTAAAATACCTTTATACATATGCATGAAAAACACTTTTAAAATGTGCTACACATGAGAGGAATACAATGTTTTGGTTTCATACAGTGAAAGAGATGATTGAATTAATAGGCACTAAATTTTAATTCTCTAACACTATTAAGGATTTTGACTCTCCAAAAAGACAAAGACTAAAATTATCCAACTGTCACCTATGCGATGTGTTTCAACTCAATCAATTTAATTATGTAGAACTGACCTTCCCATTTACCTAAGTGCATAGGACTTGATATCTTTTCCAACTCATAAAACATTTTCTATTGTTCCTCAAACCACTCCTAAAGCCATCATGAGACATAGATATAGTTTATTTTTATAATAAAATAGTATTTTTTAAATCCTTAAATAATTATTTTGCAGAATCATCTCTGTCTCAAACCTGTAGAGCGTGTCGTTCAGAAAACTGACATCTCATCCATTTTCAGAGATGCTTCAACCCTTACAGCGTGTTGGGGACTTTTTTTTCCCTTCCTTGTCTAAACCACTAGAATTTTAAGCTTCCTCTGACCTGTTTATAAATAACGAAGATGGGGGGCCCTGAAGTCTGTTCTCTTTTTCTTTATCAACATTTAATGGAAAGAGGGGAAGGGAAAGGAGAATGCATGCTGTTAGCTATTATCTTTACAAATGACTTGTTAGCCTTTTATTTGCCTGCTCATGCTTCAAACACTCAAAGGACATTTTCAGAATCTCAGTAGATGAAGGTTCAATCTTGAAATGCCTTGACAGGCTGCATCTTCCTTAAGAGATTCTGACATGATATTAAGCCATAGTTACAAGCCAGTACTTGAATGGGAAGCCCTGGGGAAATCTTCCAGAGCTAGAACACAGCATTTACAGCAGGAGGCAGGTGTCTGCACCAGTGAAGCAAACAGCAATATGATATATTTAGTATCGAAAATGGAAGCAAAACTACTGATTCTTTGCACTAGGGACAGTGGGAGAAGTTGAATGAGGAAAAAAAATCATCTTTTGGGGCCCCTGAAAATGTTAATTTACTGACAGTATGAAATATACTCTCATCACGGCAGGTGCACGCAGAACCAGGTGCTGCTCTCAATATTGTCTTTGAATTTATGTGTTCCTTTTGTAATGATAGGATGTGAGGCAGCTGTACTGGCCATGTGGAGAGAAAGCAAAGAGCTTTTAATTAGCAATAAGAGGGCTGTTAATTTCTTTTGGGATCTCACTTTTCTGTCTGTCTTTTTCTCTTTGCACTTTTATTAGTATCTCAGCAGGAGTTTCTGCATGTATCAAAAAGCACAATTTTTTTTTTTAAAACAGCATACTATGGTATATTCAGGGCAGGGGTTGTATGCTATTTGGTGAGTAAATTTAAGAAACATAGATAAAGTTTTTTTTGGAGATTAAATCTACAACCAATATAATATAAATACTTCCTTGAACATTCTTGTACTAATAACATCATGTGATCAAATTAAGAAATAAAATATATTCGTTATTATTATAGTCAATGAGTCACCTTGTTCAATTTTTAAAAATCTGAAATATACATATGCAGTTAATTAGAAAGTTTTCATTTTAATTCTAGCATATTTAAGAATAAAAGCAATTCAATATCTAAAGTGTTATTATTTTTTCTCATGATATTATTTTGGTATATACTTTTTGTACATATTATAAGAAAGCTCTATACACTTTAGGTGTTAATCAGTAATTAGTAATCATTACTCATCATCACTATACTAGAATTATAGCTATATATACATATATATATATAATTCAGAATTATAAGGAATTTTTTCATATTTTCCTAATGCTTTAAAGTCTATTTCTATTTTAAAAGCATGAATGATTTTTTATTTTAATGTTTTGATGATAAGCTTTCTTTCTTGCTATACTTAACCCTAAATTTTCACTACAAAACAACATAACACAATTTTTAACTAGTAAATGAATTGCTATTAATGGGTATCTGTAACAGTATGATCATGTTTGTTTTTTTTCTTTTTGCAAATGCTTCTTGAATATCTAACTTTTTTTATTAATTAAATCTTTATTGTTCAGATTATTACATTGGTTCCTCTTTTTTCCCACCATAACTCCCCTCCACCCAGTTCCCACCCCACCCTCCGCCCTCACTCCCCACCCACTGTCCTCAACCATAGGTGCACGATTATTGTCCAATCTCTTCCCGCACCCCCCACACCCCTTTTCCCCGCAAGAATAGTCAGTCCATTCCCTTTCTATGTCCCTGATTCTATTACAATCACAGCAGACCAGATGATCGCAAGAATCAAGTCAAAGATTTGAAATACGAAGAAGCAAAAAACACCCAACCGGAAAAGCAAAATGAAAAAAGAATCCAAAAATATGAAGATAGTGTAAGAAGCCTCTGGGACAGCTTCAAGCGTACCAACATCTGAATTATAGGGGTGCCAGAAGAAGAGAGAGAGCAAGATATTGAAAACCTATTTGAAGAAATAATGACGGAAAACTTCCCCTACCTGGTGAAAGAAATAGACTTCCAAGTCCAGGAAGCGCAGAGAACCCCAAACAAAAGGAATCCAAAGAGGACCACACCAAGACACATCATAATTAAAATGCCAAGAGCAAAAGACAAAGAGAGTATCCTAAAAGCAGCAAGAGAAAGAAAATCAGTTACCTACAAGGGAATACCCATATGACTGTCAGCTGATTTCTCAACAGAAACTTTGCAGGCCAGAAGGGAGTGGCAAGAAATATTCAAAGTGATGAATACCAAGAACCTACAACCAAGATTACTTTATCCAGCAAAGCTATCATTCAGAAGTGAAGGTCAGATAAAGAGCTTCACAGATAAGGAAAAGCTAAAGGAGTTCATCACCACCAAACCAGTATTATATGAAATGCTGAAAGGTATCCTTTAAGAAGAGGAAGAAGAAAAAGGTAATGATACAAATTATGAACAACAAATACACATCTATCAACAAGTGAATCTAAAAATCAAGTGAATAAATAATCTGATCATGTTTTCATGATGGTTTAAATATTTCCTTTACATTTCTTTCAAAAGCTAACTTTTTTGTTCTTTAAATCCTCACTCAAGGATATATTTAGAGTGGGGAAGGGAGAGAGAGAGAGAGAGAGAGAGAGAGAGAGAGAGAGAGAGAGAGAGAAAGAAGAGCGAAGGAGAGGAGAGAGAAATATAAGACGGTTGCCTCTCATACTCACCCTGACTGGGTATGGAACCCACAACCTAGGTATGTGCCCTTACTGGGAATGGAACCTGCAACCTTTTGGTGTACGGGACAACAATACATCCAACTGAGCCACCTGGGCAGGGCTTAAAAGCTAGGTTTTTAATTTCATACATAACTAGAGCATGGGCAAAAATAGATTAGACATAACCCAGTTAGATCAGGAAATTGGACTTGATCTGGATCTTTAAATCATGAATCCTTAGAATAGGCAGATACAACACTTGCTGTATTCTACCACTCATTTATTAGTTTCTGCCATCATTTTATAATTCATTTTATTTTACTTATTTTCAACTATATTGGGTGGAAACTCAGAGAACAAACTTTCTCATCCTTCATCAATGTCAAATAGTGTTAATACAAATGCATTTGAAAGTAATTTCCTACCAAGGTATGTCTAGCATTATTCTTTAGAACTTGTCATAGTTATTCTGCTTTTCCTTAGCTTTGAGCCTGTAGTGAAATATCAAAATGGAAAAACTCCCCTTCTATACACTGATAAATATTGAACTCACTTAGAAGAATTTGTCTCAACAAATTAAAAGTCTTTATTCTGCTGCATAGTAAGATAGGTATCTCTTGCCGAAACTGGTTTGGCTCAGTGGATAGAGTGTCGGCCTGCGGACTGAAAGGTCCCAGGTTCGATTCCGGTCAAGGGCATGTACCTGGGTTGCGGGCACATCCCCGGTGGGGAGTGTGCAGGAGGCAGCTGATCGATGTTTCTCTCTCATCGATGTTTCTAACTCTCTATCCCTCTCCCTTCCTCTCTGTAAAAAATCAATAAAATATACTTAAAAAAAAGATAGGTATCTCTTATCCTAATGAGACATTTGTACACTTTTGCTATTCACCTCGTTAATGGATTAAAAAAATGAAAATTTACTTTATGCTCACGTTACCATCAAGTACAGTTGAATACAAATATATAGTGATGTTATTTAGTTTACACTACTGAAGGGAAATTAATAAGAATAGAAAAACTCCAATAAGTTTGTCTTTAGATTTTGTAGATATATTATTCCAGATTTGGTAATATATTCATTATTGCATCATATCATTTAAAAAATAGATGTTTTAGTTAATTTTTTTTAGAAGTGTCCGCACACCAGTCAAGTCCTGACAGTACAAAAATGGCAGCACAATGGCATGCCATTTGTATCAGAACCTAAGACTAACATGCAGGTATATTTATCTCACATGCCATTGTGTTTTTGTTAATTTTTGTTTGCTTTTCATTCAGAGGTATGGAAAATATTCTCTTGATTATTTTATTTTTATTTTTTAAATTTATTTTTTTCTTTAGTGATTAATGTATTGCATATGTGTCCTTATCCTTTCATTGTCCCCTCACCCCCCACTCATGCCCTCACCCCCCTGGTGTCTGTGTCCATTGGTTAGGCTTATATGCATGCATACAAGTCCTTTGGTTGATCTCTCCCCCTTACCCCCACCCTCCCCTTCCTTCCCCCTGAGATTTGATGGTCTGATTGATGCTTCTCTGTCTCTGGATCTGTTTTAACTGGAGAGCATTATGCTAAACGAAATAAGCCAGCCAGAGAAAGATATATATCACATGATCTCACTCATTTGTGGAATATCATGAACAACATAAACTGATGAACAAGAACAAAAACAGATCTTTTGATTATTTTATAATTCCATTTATATTAGAGAAAAATATAAGGATAGTTTTCTGAATCATAATAATGAGGCTATTACTAGTGTTTCAATATAATAAAAAACTGAATATTATATGTTTAATAAATGTGTATATTTTTAGAGCAAGAAGAAATCATAAATATTGTCTAGTACAATAATATCTTTTTTGAGGCACAGAGAGAAGGAGTTACTTGCTAGGATCTCATAGAAAAATATTTACAGCTGTCTGGTTTTCTGATAGTTCCAATAAGCCATAAAGATTCCAAATAAATGCTTTTGTGGGAATTCTTATATTACCTTTTTATAAATATGCTTATATGACAGTCAGTATGTTATGTTCCTCTATGACTCATTGTTAAATGGAAATCATTGTTTAAACTATTAGTTCAGAAGCTACTGATACACACCTACTTTTCTAAAGTAGAATAAAAAATTTCAGCTTTTTTTCTAATATGTAACCTCCAACATTTTCCATAAAATGTTTTGCACATTTTATGTCTATAAAACATCATAGAAACATAAAATGGATCAATTTCTAGGTGAAAGGCAATTGTTTTACTATTTGTCAACATGAAAGAACTTAGAAATTCAACATTAATATTTTAACAGACATGTTTTATGAAACAGAATAGTTAATTTGGAAAATCTTGCAGTTTCCGAAGAGAATTGAGTCAATTCATTTTGAAAAAGGCTCTAACTTTTTTGTTTTTAAAGTCAGCAGGAATGCACGATTAATTTGGTCCTGTGGGTAAATATTAATTCTATCACAGAAAGAAAAATGTTTCAACATCTCATAAAAAAAGTAGCCAGGTCTGCCTTTGCCATACACTTTTATGAAGCATTTATTGAAAGATAAATATTAAAATATACATAGAAAAGAGAAAAGCTTGCAAAAATTGATTGACATCACAACCAGGTTTGCATAAACATTATACTTACTATTTATCGGACTTTGTATTTTATGAAGATCTTTCACAAGCACTATCTCATTTAAGTATTGCATGAACCAGGGCATTTAGGCATAACGAGCACATTATTTCTTTTTCTTTTTTTTTCCATTTTATACATGAAATAAACCCTTACAAAAAATATCTACTTCTTAAACCACATACAATTTTCTAATGTTCTCTTCAATACTTTTCATCTGGTGTTTTGGGGTGTTTTAGATTCTCTAAAACCCATTAAGGCAGCTCTTCTGCACATTTACTGGCAAGGAAACTAAGATTCAGAGAGCATGAAATAGTTCTGTTCTACAGTATGATGCTGCTTCTAATGTAAATCAAGGTTTAATTTTGAGCTGCAGCTATTCCCTCCTGCCCTTTAAAAGACAATTCAAGTATCATCACTTGTATAAAGCCTCTTCTCAACTTTGTTGCTTTCCCTCTGCCTTTCCATGATACCATATTAATGATAGCAATGCTAGTATTTGTATTTTTATTTCTAATTATTTCACAGGCATTCTGATAAGCATTTCCCTTCTATTATGGCGATTAGCCCTGGTGATGTTACATTTTTATTGCACTGATGTCATATATGAGGAAACTGGAGAAGTGATTGAATGAATGGGTTGATTGCTAATTATATGGTCTCCCTGTTCACATAAAAACAAGTGCTTCTCTTCACATGTGTTGATGGTGGCTAAACATTTTTTCACGTTATATCAGAATCCAACAGAATCCTTCTTTCCACCCAGGAGAGAGACCATTGTTTGTAAGCTGAGCCAATGTTTATGAATTTTGAATCAGAAAGGAAAGTAAGAATCCAGTACCTTTGGGGGGAGAAACTGACAGTGCAATAGGATTGAGCTGTGCTATCATATGCTTATACTCAAGTGGTGAAAGACGGTTTGAGAGAATCACAACCAGCAAAGAGAAGCTGAATAGTCAAAAATGAGAAAAAAATGTCAGTTAATTAAGGTCCTAAACTGAGATGTTTTTGGATCTCAGCTGTCACATTGTCCGTCCTGCAGTTTTATTTTTTTCCACGTGCTGATAAACTATCCTCACCCTCTTTTTACATAAACCACTGTACCCCCGGCTTTACAATGGCAAAAAGATGCTTCTTCCCACTATTAAAAAACACACAAAAAACAATGCTGATACAGAATGCCTGCCATATCTTCCAAACAGAGTGCATTTTATGTCTTTCTAACTAGTACTTTGTTAATATGTTTTGTCACTTATAATCAATGTCCTTTTATAATTTATACTTAATTTAAATCTTTAAGTTGTGTAATTGTTTCCTGCTAGGCAGCCTTTTATGGTGCCCTATAAAATAATTTACTGACAGATAATAACTGATGATATTCCAAAAACTATATTGTTTTACAATTGCATTTTTAATGAAAACTAACAGCTAGTCATCCCCCTCTCATACATTATCAAGTTGATAATATTGCAGCTGTATACATTTACACGAATTTTTTTTTCTTATTCACTTATTTACCCTTATTTATAACTCAAATGTGTGTATATTTTAAACTTTTAAAACCATAGGGGAGATTTTACTTAGCTGCAAGTTAACTTCATAATTTATATGAAAAATTAGTGACAAGAAATAATATTTGCAGTAGAGAAATTGAAAGTTTAGGCAATTAATGCTAACTCCAATATTAGTAGATAAATACAATTTGTATTCATTATTTGTTGCTTTATCATTCGCTTATAAGGAAGACTCTTTAGTGATTGTTTTTCCATCTATAAATGAGCAATAATTTAGTTTTTTAATCTAGAAGAAAATCTTTATTTACTATCTAGTTGAACTTATAGAAAGTTTTTTTTTCTTCTTTTTTTCTTTTTTTCCTGAAAGAGCTTCAGATACAAACCCTGGAACCAAGTCCAGAAAACCACTATCAAAGTGTGCCTGCAAGACAGTTCTTATTTCTTTTAAGTTGAACTCATCTACCGATACTTTATTGATTGCACAGTAAATATGCAATGCACTTTCTTTATTCTTAAACACCAGCTTTGGGTAACTAAAGACATATCTTACTGTGGCCTATCAAATATTATAGTAGTATGTGTAGCCAATCATATTTGAATACTTGAATAAATATGATGAAAAGATGAATGCTTGATGTTCCAAATTGAATTCAGTCTTGAGTGAAGCATTAATTCTAAGGCTGTAAGATAATGACGATGTGTGCTGTTTTTGTGTGTGTGTGCAATTTGCACATATGTTGAGAGGCAGAGCTGTTGAAACACTTTAGCACTAACAGCACTCTTTTGTCTTGACAATATTTACCCTGACATTTCTATTACAAGAAGCAAATGTGTTATTTCTACTATTATTCAGGAAATGTCTCAGCAGGATGAAAAAGAATCATATTTAAGAACTTGCATGGAAATTTGACTTTGGGTGGTGAATACACAGTACAATACTAGTATGCAGAGGATGTATTAATGCAACAAAAATTAATAAAAATATAAATAATGAATGTAAATGTTAAAAAACGCATGGAAATATTTTACTTACTAGGTAGCTATAGTTATCACAGGTCTGTGCATAAAGAAATGTTCACAACTTAAATTTGTAGGTAAGGCTCTCACCCATCCTTGATCTCTGCACAAGACTATCGATTTCATTAAGGATGCATTATAGCCCAGGGTCTTTAAGCAAACACATTTTCCCCTAAAATCAAATAGAGGAATAGGCAAAGAATTCTCTTTCATCTATAATTTATAAAGCCAAGTTCAAGAAATTTAAACTACTTGAAAAGTAGCATTTTATTTCTTATGTAATGAAATTGTAAAAAATTAAAACTCAATGCAGATTCACTTGACTGATGAAACTTTAATATTTTAATACAAACCCAGGATTCTATGTCCAACTACATTTAATTGCAAATGAATAGTAGGATGTACAAACTACTAGTAGGATGGATGTACAAAACCAGTAGCAAATTTTTATCTCAGAATAAATGTTTATTGAGTAGACATTTATTTTCAGGAAAAAAAAAGCAATTTTAAATCTTATAAGTACACACACACACACACACACACACACACCTCAATTTCCTTAAGTTACCATCATTTTCATCATTTTAGCTAAGAACCAATAAGTCTCTTCTGGTCTAGGGAAAATGTTACGATGATGGCTCTAAAAGTGTGGAAACAAGAAAGAAATCCTTTTTACATTTCTATTCGATTATTCTGTTTAAAATGAGAAATGACAAATCTGTAATCAGTGCTTACACTGAAATGTTATTAAATGACAGTGATACAGAAAAGTATGGGTTTAAAATATTTCTGACAATATTCCCTTGGAAGATAGTATGGACTTGTTACTTTAAAGCCATTCACAATATTTATCCCTCTTCCCCCGCCCACCCCCCCTTACCATTATGGCTGGTAAACTAATATGTATCTGCCTTTGTACATTCCCTGCTTATATGGTAATCATGTTAAATAGATGTAGCTAATAAAAAAGTGCAAGTTTTGGGGTAGGGTAATCTTTAAAAAATTAAAAATAAATAATAATAAAATGTACATTTTTATTAGGAGAGAATACCTTTCCATTTCCATTATCTTTCCATTTATCTTGCCTGGGTCTGAGATCCAAAGCTGGAATTACAATGGCCATCTTCTGTCT